CCTTTTTTTTTTTTAAAGACCGTTTTTGCGACCGACAACGCATACGCGATATTATTATCGCGGATGGGCGCGAAAGGCCCGCGGAGAGGAAAAAAAAACACAAGCGGCGACGCACGACCGGCACGTGCACGGCCGCCGTTTATAAACAATATTATATCGCTGAGGGTTGGGCCCGTCGAGGGGTATACTATGTGACGCGACGAAGAAGGCTTTTTGTCGCCGGCGTTTTTATTATATTTTTTTTTCCCGGTTTCGACAAACGGTCTGGCCGACACGTCGCGCGTTTTATAACGTTTTGTTCGCTGATATAATGCGAGTTCGAAGTTTCTGGGTTAAATATCACATTATGATAAAAATTTCACGATATGCGTACAACACCATACAATATTGTATGACTACGACGATGTATAATACTATATATAGGTATATGTTACCATCGATGGTGTAAATTAGGTAGGTAATAAAGTAAATGCCTAGCCAATGTCAACATTGCTAACATATTAGTAGTCGATATCGTTAAGAGGGCTGCAGCAGATGAAAAAAAAGTGACTTTTAGATCAATAAGCTAGACAAAACTGGAAGAATTTGGTTTGACAGATTTTAACTTTGAAAACGGGTTATTATTGATCAACAAGTAGACTAGGGAATGATCGAGACGATTTTGAATATTTTTTTTTCAGTTGTGATATCCAAAAAATAAAAATATCGAAATAGAGAAATCATGCGCAATCGTAAAAACGTACTCAATCGTATATTACCTATAATAATGCGATTATATTATAATGCACATTGTGCCTCATAATAATATAACTTGTAACTTGTAAGTCGTTAATATAATATATTACTTTATGATGTACCTAATAGGAAATTTTTTCGTTCATACATATATTATACGATATTATAATAGTATAACTGAACATTTTATTTTTACATCTTTCTGTGTGAACTGCTGTATATTTGTACAGGACTAGTTTATCGTTTTCTGTATGATTTATTATTATTATTATTATTGATGATAATAATATGATATTCTCGACGATAAAAAGAATAAACAGGCGAACACAGGAAACCAGTGCATTATAGTAGCGGGCACCACTTTTGATGGTTATTTATTGGCAGGTTACGTGCCAAAAGCTTCAACCTACGTTTATATATTATGCACTTACATGCATACAGACATTATCGTAGTGTATAAGTACATACTTACTAATTTATGATTGTGTATATAAAAATAATACTTTCATATACCATACTTCACTAACTTTTTTTTTTTTATAACAAGCTTACACACGCATATTCGATGGGTTTTTTTTTATATTATTTAAGTACTCAAGACCTCAGCTAAAGAATATGCTAATGTATTAAGCATATAACATAATAGGAATTTTGTCCACTAAACAATACTATAATATTATATTATCTACTGTACATACTAACAATATGTTATTGTTAGTTCAAATTTTCGGTTAAATATGGAGGAAGGAAAGTAAAGCAAAGATTATTATCGAACCATATCTACTAACTATTAATTATTTATTGTATAAACCTTTGATTAAAACGATGAGAAGGTGTATTAATATGGTGTATATGTATTACTTTTTTGAACGACAACATACTGTTTTAATTTCATATTCCAAACAAGAATATTTTTCTAAGTATTTCCATACATACAAATCGAATTTAGGACGAGTAGTTTATGAGCTATATAAGTATTCAAAGCTTAGATAAGCAGAGTGCAATGGTATGCAGTTACCATGCAAAATGTTTGTCTTCTGCTCTGCTCTCCTATACTTATTCCCAAAAAATGAGGTCTCTAGGTATTGATAGTTACCTATAGGTATTTATTGACTTTCGCCAAATTTACCAGAAATAATAAACCTGTCAAATTATTATTACTCCCACCCACAACTAGTGCTCCATATAGTATGGAGTAGTAGAGCGAAACGTTGCAGGATACAGGTACCTACTCCTGTGCCAATTCGTCTGAGTTTTAAAATGCTTATCTATAGGTAACTAATAAGCTTTTTTTTTTTTTTTTTTTTTTTTGGAAGGTAACTAATTAGCTATACTCGTTCAAATTTCGATATTACATGAGCATGATATCATTTGGTTATGAAACTGCTGTTGTACGTTGTATTTGAATATTTAATGAAATCTATTTTACTCTTTCATTTTTATAGTAACCTACACTTACCAAGACGTATTAGTTATTACACATTTACACTACTACACCGAATAAAGAAAAAAAAATTTAATTTAAATAATAATTCAACAACATAAATATGAATAAGCAAGAATAAATTAACTTTTCATACAATATTTATTTTTATAATGTACTTTTAATTTATTCTTTTTCGAATGAATGTCACACAATGGTTATCAATTAAAGCCTAAAGTATACACTAGTGTCGATATAATAATATAGGTGTAATAATATACCATACCTCACATATTAATATATATTATACAATATACAATTATATTAATATATACAATATATAGTAGGTTATTAGTTCGTTTGACTTGTTTAGATACTGATCAATATTTATTTTGATTCAAACGAATTAATATACGAATAACTACAATTATAAGTACCTATCGGTAACATAAACTAACATTGTAACAATATTCAAAATGTAACGGACTTGTATGATTACACTATAATAGTATTATACATGAAACAATTATTTCGATTACCAAAACGAATTATACTTCCATCCGAGTATCTATGTAATATACTTCCGGAGGAACAAACACATTTTTCTGGTTGGACGTAATTCGCACGTACCCAGTTTTTTTTTTTGTTTTTACTGCAAAGCCCAATGAGAAAATTAATGGTCGTCACGCCATAAACTAAACTTGGAAATACACATATTACACACGGTGTCAATGTTATGACGCCACTCGTCAAAAGAACAAATACAAAACAAAACCATGATTCGTCAACGCTCGCAGTCGGTCAATACAAATTGTATTGTGTGTGTTTCCACCGTAATTTTGGCCTTCAAATGTGTTTAGAGATAGACAATAACAAATTTAGAACAGCTTTTGAAATATTCATAACCTCCATTGGCCATTACCTACAAAAGGTTGATAATAATATGTTTTGTTAAGTATTTGCATTACAACGCCACCTTTGTTTCCGCAGTCGTTTTTATTCTCGTAATGACCACGACTAACGTGACCAAAGCTCGTACAGTCTAGTGTGATATCATACGACCCGCGAGTACGAGGCTCGAAGTAGATAATTACTAAGTATAAATAATGTAGTAGCCACTATCCTGTTGGTATAATATAATATATAGGGATGGCTATTGGCTTGCGATAAGAGAGTCGTGAGCCATACAATATAATGCAAAATAATATGAAGAACAGGAAAATTAATGATATTTACCTAATATATTAGTAAGAGGCGAGCAGAGGTTTGGCCATCCCTAATATATAGTAGGTATGGGATAAAACAGTTTAATCACACTTGAGACCGATCGTCTTATAGAAATTCGGAAATTGTTGTTGGCATTTAACTGCACAATATTGTGTTCGATGTTAAGAGATACTTATAATAAAGTGAAAAGTCCATTTAACTCAATTTTCTGTTTAATGAAATATTTTTGAAACAAAACAAAAATTATTGAAAAAGTAAGATATAAGAAGAAGCTATTTTTTAAAAATGTAAAAATTGATTTGTACGAAAGAATTTTTTTTAGAAATGTATTCTGTTAACACATAATTTTCTTAGAAATTTAAAATTACTGTTGAAATATTAGTGTTTAAAATACAATATATTAACTTGGCACAGAGATATACTGAGAGTGATATGGAACTAATATTAAGTTTCTAGTAACTACATAGTAATGTAGGTAGGTACCTACAATCTCTCAAAATTACAATATTTCAAAGTTTACATGATAACAACCAGTAAACAACACTGTAGAAGTGTGTATTATTGTGACGACGTTCCCATTGTTCCCAAATATAATAACAATACCTACCTACCTATACTGTATGACATAACATTAATAATTATTATCGTGGCCGTGAATCGCGCCGTGACGTCATCAGCGCACTCAACGAGGGAGCTCGCCTATTGCGCCCTCAACCCTCCGATGGGCGCAAGACGTTTTTTGGTTTTGTTTTGTCATCGCGCAGTTTTAAATAAAAATATATACCCTCCCCTTGCAAGCAGTGGTTTTTATATGGGACCGCTCGTGATGATGAACGACGTCTATACACAATAACAATAATACTATAATATTGTATACTAACGCGTGCTATTTAGTGTGTGTGTGTGTGTGTGTGTGTGTGTGTGTGTGTGTGTGTGTGGTAGATACTCCAGTGGCATACCGCACACAATGACGGGAATAAAGAATTTTTAAATACCGGTCTCAGCTCTCTCTCTCTCTCTCGTCGTTTTGCCTTCTGGTCGTCGTCATCAGCTCACGCTTCCCATTTACATGTACATATAATATAATTATCATACATATACGAGGTGTGTTCAATAAATACCCAGACTAAAATTATTAAAAATTATATTTCAAACTTACAAATTATTTAAATGGATCACCTTTAAAATAGTGTCCTTTAGCATCAATACAATGCGCCCAACGGTCTTGCCACTTTTTGAAACACCTTTGAATTTCCTCTATAGGCCCTTTAGCTCTTGTTTCGCGTTATGAATAGTTTCGTTAACGTCTTCAAATCTGTGGCCTTTGAGGGTACTTTTTAGTCTTGGAAACAAAATAAAATCACAGGGAGCTAAGTCGGGTGAATATGGTGGATGAGGTACCACTGGTATATTTTTAGATGTCAAAAATTCACGTACGGAAAGTGCAGAATGCGCCGGTGCATTGTCGTGGTGCAAAAACCACGACTTTGATTTCCACGCTTCTGGTCTTTTACGGCGTACTTTCTCTCTTAATCTTTCTAATACTTGTTTATAGAACACTTGATTTATTGTCTGACCTGTAGGTGCAAACTCATAATGAACTAAACCAGAAAAATCAAAAAAAAACTATGAGCATTGCTTTGATGTTTGACCGGACCTGACGAAATTTTTTTGGACGAGGTGAACTTGCGGTCTTCCATTGCGATGATTGGACCTTGGTTTCGGGATCATATCCATACACCCATGTTTCATCGCCCGTAATTATTGATTTGATAAAACTTGGGTCATTAGAAACCCGATTTTTTAAATCCAAACACACTTCAATGCGATGTTCCATTTGCTCCTCGGTTAACAATTTTGGCACTAATTTTGCGGACACTCTTTTCATACCCAATTCATCTGATAAAATCGAATGACAAGTACCAATTGATATGCCAACTTCATTAGCTACTTCTCTGACAGTTAATCTTCGGTCGGATCTAATTTTGTCTCGAACTAGAGTAATGGTATCATTTGTTTTTGATGTTGATGGACGCCCAGGACGATGGTCATCTTCAATGGATATACGACCTTCTTTAAAACGTTTGAACCAGTCAAAAGTCACACAACGGCTTAGTGCAAAATCTCCAAAAGCCAATTTTATCAATTCAAAAGTTTCCGTAGCATTTTTACCAATTTTGAAACAAAATTTAATACACGCGCGTTGCTCTGAAATATTATCCATCGTGAAATCGCGATTTTATACAAAACGACCAACTTCGAACGCGTATTGTCGATGACTGATTTGAGATAATGATTATTATTATATACTGAAATAATGGTCATTATCTCTAGTTTATTTTGGTTCAATAACATTTCTGATAACATTAAATGTTTTTCTACAATAATTTTAGTCTGGGTATTTATTGAACACACCTCGTACACTGCAGCCCACATGCCGGCATAACGCGATATTATTACTATAAATACTACGCCGCTTATTATTATTGTAATAATCATTATCATTCGTGTCATTGTTGAAAGCGCATCCCCGACGTGCGCTGAAGAATGACTATATAATATATAGTTACCTCCACCGACAGCCCGAGCTGTGTGCTGTTGGGGGTGGTGGCGACGGTGGGGGTGGTGGCGACGGCGACTAACATGTCCATTCAAGGAAATCTGCGCGTCACGAAATTAAAAACGAAATCGTTATTTCATTATAACGATCTATCACGCCGAAAGAGGGTGGTTTTGGTATTTGTATGTTTTATTTTCCCCAACTAGCATTACCGGAAAATTGTTAATAACAACCGGAACAGAAGTTCTGGGGTTGTCCGTGCGCAATATAATAGTGTTTTTATTAATTTTTTCGTGTGTAATTTTTAATAACATTATGACGTGTTATACCACAATTCTAAATACCACGAGCTGCTATTTCAAAAAGCTTATTGTTTTTATTAAATTGAGTGGTTTAGTGTTAGTATGTACAATATTGTACGCATTAGGGTGGCACTAAGAGGTAATAATGTAATGTTTTCACCGTATTTTAATAATAGGTACTAATAATTTAAAGTTTCATAAGAAATCTATCGATTTTTAAAGGTCACGCGGACTTAAATACTCAATTGCAGGTTGTAGATTAGAAGTACGTGATATTACTATATACTTTATAGTTTATACTATAATTATGGACAATTGATTAAGGTAAAGTTTATTCCTTTTTTCAGTTAAAATTGTATCAATAAAGATACTCTTCAAAGAGTCTCTCAACAAATGTTATTATATCTGCACACTCCTATTTTCTATTATTCTTACGGTACTACCAAGAATTATTGGTGCCCTACTGCCCCTTTTCAATACAACATTAATGGTTTTAATTTTTATAGAATTTGTTTTGTATGTATAAATGGTTGCCATTTCTTACTCCTTCAGATCAGGTACATGCTTGCATCAAATTTTCAAGCTTATGGTCTCGAATAATGAAACTATATCTTAAAACCAAATGTTTGTGTGTATCTAATATACTAAAAAATTACTCAACTGAATTTGACGATGATCACAGGGATTGTTTGTAGTGATGTCGGAAAAGCTTAGACAGCAAGTAGTTTACACCGCGTTAAAAATATACCAAATGACAAATGCTAAATCGAATCCGTGACTTGCGGTGGCCAATACCTATCAAAATCGAATTATTTCATAAAGATAGAAACACTGACGCCGATTTGTTCGTGATATGAGGTATACTAAAACTGAGAAACATCTATGTAGAGTACCTATATATACTATAAAGAATTTGCCAGTTTGCCACAAAAAAAAACTACACACAGGATTCAACTAGTTATCACTTATCAATAAATAATAAATATTATAACAATGTACGTTTTTTTTGGAAGTGTGACATTAGAGATTGTAGCCAACACATTTTTCATGAAATATGTTAAATGCTTGAATGTTATGAACAATATTTTTAAATAATTAAATTTATAAATTATAATATATTATATATTTTAAATTTTAACCATATAGCTTTTAATTTAAAATTATTTTTTGAGCCATAGTGTACTCGTCCCGTTTTCTCCTTTTCTTAGCACAGCCCTAGATATTAAATGTAGTAATTATACTAACTATAAAAAGTAGAAACATATTTATCTAAGTATTAATTAGGAATGACCATGTAGGTGCCTGCCTATTTTAAATCGGAGTATAAATTAACTTTACAATTTATTTTATTTGTTCTATTGACATTTAGAATGATAAATAGTTATATTGTAAGTAAATAAACGGAATATATTAATTCGCTTATCGACACACTGACAAAATCCTCCAAGCTTCCCCTAAATTTTCTGTTTGGTCATTCGCTGACGAAATGTGTAATTTTTGTAATTTTTCGGTTCTGATGTCTGATGACCACAGTCACAGTTTGGTATAGAACAAATACCCTATACATTACATTAATTTTCCACATATCTAGCCTGTCCAAATCTGGTTTAGCATAGCCCACTGTTGTCACCTTTGCGGGGTTGACGAAAGTCCACTTTATCATGGCGACCCCACCCGGCCGCCAAGAGACTTTCAAAACCAGTAGAAACAACTAGCTCGCTACCCTATTTCAGCCGATGCTGTGAGATTCAAAAGGTAAGTGCCTGTAGAGGATCTAGTGTGCCCTCTGTCCTGAAAAAGGGCACCTAGGCAAGCCCGGATTAAGGATCAATTGGGCCCCGGGACACCATACACTTAGTGGGCACCCTTTCAACTTTAACTTCAAAATAATTGTATCATTACATTTTAACGACTTTATATTATTTTATAACTTTTTACTATACAAAAAATATATAGAAAGTATAAGACACTTATATTCTTATGTCATAGTACGCGGGTTTTTTTTAACAATTATGGATCGACGTTATGAAATTTCGTTAAACAAAAAAAGACGTGTATTTTTAACAGGCATTTTTTTTATAACATTTTCAAAATTTTTAAACAAGCAATTTTATCAATAATAAAATCGACTTTATTTTTTCAAATAGTACCTCCTAACCACTATATTTTTTTTGGATTCTGGTAAAGCTTTTTGTCTGAACATTTTGACTGTCAAATGATCAATTTCGGTTCGCTATAGGTTATTAACTATGGCCCTCTAAAGTTTAGTATAATATGCATTAATACTTTTAACTGAAATACCTAATTCACAAGTGCTAAATATGTTTTCCTTATAACTATCTATATACTTAAATAGTTAAATCAGTAACCAAAAATGCTCAGAAAAAAAAGCATAAACAAAATTGTTGCCAAACACGGTTCATTATTTATAGTAATTTTTCGTGATATCAAATTGAGAACAATTTTATTTTATAATTATTATTTATTAAGTACCTAATAATAATTTACCTACTACCTATACTACCTACTTAAATAATTATTTTTTTTAAACTGTATTGGATGCGTTAAAAAAATATATTTTGGGGAGAAGGATGGGTCCTCAAAATAAATGGGCCCCGGGACCGTGCCATCCTTTCCCCCCTTAATCCGGGCTTGCACTTAGGTAAAAACCAGGCTACGCTAATCCAGAAGGAGGTCACCCGATAACTCGGGACCGACGGTTACTAGTCCGACGTGGCTTACGGAAGTTTGTTAACATCATTACACAGGAAGTGGTGAAAACCGTGAGCACTTCGGGACTATCCTGCACTCTGAATCACAGCGGGCCGATCATTAGCTGGTTTGGGAACTAGAACAATGGTAGAGGATCGCCACCTATGGCGGAGGAACCGATACTCAGGCAGATCCTGCACTGACGTCAATTCGTAACTGAAACCCTATAGTCAGTACCTCGGTTGGCTGGACTTGCCCGGTTAACCGGAAGTGCCCGCTGTGGTAGAGGTGCGTCTTAAGCTATAACGTGGTGGCTGTGGGACCGGCGCTTGATAGCGGAGAATACGACCTACAGTACTACCCTAGACAACGTGCGAAAGTCATGATGTCAAGTAAAACTGTCAGACCTCAGCGGCTCTCGAATAGAGCTCAACGCTAATGTGTGGTCCCCCGGTTGTAGCCGAAAGGCATCAAATCCGGGAGTTTCCGTTTGTTTCTAAATGTACGCTATTGATTTTAATAATAATTATTATTACTGAATATGCGATAAGCTTGTGTATTTTAGTACCTACTAAACCTACAGAATGTATCAAGTTCGAACCACGGTTTTGGTGGAGCATATTTTTTGATACTTAACTTAAATTATACACTAACGTACGCACCACTCGGGGTCTATGGTCTACAGCAATTATATTGGCCAACTGATAATATACTGCCTCGCATAACCACAAGCGAACCTCACGGACAACGCCGGTCGAGATGGTTATACATTTAAATATAATATAATTTGCACTTAAAAAGACATTGCTTCCACAGCGTGTTGAAATCAAAAGGAGTTAAAGCTAAGAGAGCAAAACTATACTTCAGCTAGTATTTATAGCACATACACTTCTGATCTATTCACATTTAATTTTAAACTAGTACGTAAATTATTATTATTGTATAAACATTGTTTAATTCTATGTAACGTGTAGGTATTATTAATTATTGAAATTGTGGCAAAAAAACGATTTATTATTTGCAGGTTGTATATATTTTTGCTGTTTGTTAAACACAATATACACGAGAAATAAATTATTATAATACTTCTGACGTAAAAATAGTCTTCATAATAATTTATTTTATTTTTATAGAATTTGCAGTACCTATAAGTTACAACTAAAATACTATACAGGAATTCAATGGCTATATACCTGTTTTTTTTTTTTAACAAAACGTTTGTAATGTATTACATAAATACAAAAGTTTACTTGTTCTTTTTTTGTATAACATGATTCAGTTGATTCTTTCCAAAAACCAATTCATTTTATTTCACTTATTTGAATAATATGTTAAAATTACAATTTCATTATGACACAATAAAGTTTAATTATTTTTTATAATATTTATTATTCGCTTAAAATAAATATCCCACAATAAACTATAATAACTATATATGCATTTTCATATTGTATGAATTCTCAAACATCAATTCCATAACCTGGGTTCAATAATCTAAACTATAATTAGTTATTACGTCACTACATTTGTACCTGCCGAAATCACTAAATATATAAGTAGTATCTAATAGCTCCATTTTAGTAAACGCAAGATAATAAAGTACAATAAAAAAAAAAAAAAATGGTAATTTATAGGTTAATGAAAATTTTC